TTTCACTGCGATGTTTAAATGTGTGATTTTTATGGTAGTCATTAGTATCATTACTGAATTAGGAGCCTAACTTTGTTAAGTGCAAAAAAATTTTCAGAAAGTAGTACTAGAATTTAATTTAATATCAGTTTTAATTATTTATCTTTTTAACAAAAAATTTTCATTTAGCTACTTTTGCCAACAGATTTAATTTTTTTATTTTGCTAATTTCTATTCTATTAACTCATGGTTAACCTGCCTTTTAAGCACCAGAAAAAAAGTTTTGTTTAGTATTGCAATTGTTTTGTGTACGTAATTATTGTGTTACATATGTTGTTGTTTTTAAATATTTTGAGTCTGTGTTTCCACTTTAATTGTGAAACTATGAATTACTGCTGTTATTCAATTCAACCGTGTATGAATATTTTTTTCAGCATACAAACTGTTTGCTCCAAGGAAGAAAAGGAAGTTTTAGAACATCTTGTTTGAGTGGTATGGCAGTTTTATTTCTTTTCTTAGCACTATCTTAACTGAAGTTGAAGAACTGAAGAGATTTTAAAATATAACTGATATAGAAAGTGATTTTTTATTTTGTGATTGTGTCAATATTTAGTGTCGAGCTGAAGAAGACTCGTATGTGTTTTTAATTCAATTCACATTTGATAGAGATTTTTGTACTGCGTACTGCACTGATTAGTGTAGGGCAGTGCTTCCCAACCTTTTGTGGACTATCGCCCCCCTCTTGGGGTTGGCCGACACACATCGCCCCTTTATCTTTTTGCTCAAAAACCATTCATTGTTGCTTGTGAGCAACCAAATGCTAAGTTATATTTTATTTTAATTTAAATTGTAATGCAAATAAGGAGGCAATTTTATCTTGCCATTTTTATTAATTAAAAAAGAATTGTGCATCTTTTTTTTCAAAAAGAAATAATATTTAAAACGGAATAATCAAAACAGAAGTACATTTTTTTAAATTCATATTTTAATGTAATCAAAAAAAAGTTAAAACGTTAACAACTATAATTTGAGAAAAAATGAAGAGTGAGAAAGTACATTTCCCCACTTTACTGACTGCCCTGTGCTTGGTGTATTTCAGTTAAAGCTTGAATGACAGGTTTTATGTTCGTCAGATTTAAACGCAGGTCTCCTTTGAAGCAAATATCCAACCTATTTCTTTGCTTTGTGAGGAGTTGGAAGACAGAACTAAATCCTCTCTCCACTAAATATGATGGCATGAACGAGATGAGGAGCGGCTCAGTTTGTTTCCACAATTGTGGACAAGTGTCCATAAGCTTTACCCAAGCTAACTCGTAACCGTATATTTTAAAGACGACTTTAGCCTCACAGTCATACTTCAAATCTAAAAACTCAGTCTGCAAAGATGAAGTGAGCTTATCCACAACTTCAAACGAGAAAGGATCGAAAATCCTATCCGGAATTTATAATTTCATCAAATCTTTAAATCTTGATTCCATATCAGTTTTTAACTGATCAATGTGATCAGTAAAAATTAAGATTTTATTTTCGAGAATCTCGATATCTGCCATTGAACACTTTTTAAGAGTTGGAAATCGCATCAGCTCTTTGCAACCAATTTTTGACTTGTAGATATCAAATTTGGCGATCAATGAAGATATGATTCCCTTAGCCTTGATAATTTTCATTTTATTTCCTTGAAGTTTTACGTTGATTTCGTTCATTTCTTCAAAAATATCCGTGAGGTACGCAGTTTCCAACTTGCGTTGCTTCAAACTCTCACGTAAAACAGAATTAGTAGTGTCGAGAAACTCAGTAACCGAGTCAAACAATTCGAAGAAACGGCGCGAACAGTTTCCTTTCGAAGGCCATCTCATATCTGTATGTAGGAGCAAGAGTTCGAAATCTTCATCATTTTCACGGCAAAGTTCTCGGAACAAACGGTCATTGAGAGAATTAGCTTTGATTTTACTGATGCCAGAAATAAAGAATTTTAAAGTGTCATACAGGGCACCACTTAACTTTTTTGCAGCCAAATGTTGACGATGAATAACACAATGAATGGTGATGACCTCCGGTACTTCTTTTTTAAGGTGTGCCAGAAGCCCAGTATGACGACCAGACATGGCAGGAGAACCATCTGTTGCACAAGCTTTTACATTTGTAAGGAGAATTTCTTTTTCCTCATAATAGCTTTTGACTAATTTAAAAATCGACGATCCTTTTGTATCAGTGATTAAAGTTTTTGTAAACCGCATTTCCTCGATAATCTCCTTACTTTCGTTTATGAATCTCACGTAAGCTAATACAATAACTTTTTTTTTCTATCCCAGCTGATTCATCTATCTGCAACGCAAATTTACCTTC